GGAAAACAATCATCATCAAGTGTCTTGTCAGCTCGCATAGGCGTACATGCATCTCCGCAGATCCCGGTCTTAGGTGTTCTGGATCAGCTCCACTGATGATATTCCTCCATGCCACTGTCAAAAGCCATTCATCATCATTTCTCTTGGTCTGATTCTCTGCCTCTTCTACCAGTGTTTTTTCCGGTCGTTCATTTTGTTGCTCATTTTTTTGTTTGTTTTCATCACATGACCAGAGAACTTCGTGTGTCTCCTTCTTATTATTGAACATAAAGCTCGACCACGTTCAACCTGCTGCTAGCTAGCCGAAACTGCTAACAATCTCCGGTTATATTTGTGGTCTGTTGTTTTTTTTTTGCGCGACTTTCGTGGCTAAAGTTATGGTATTTGCGCCGTTTTCCCCCCCCCCCCTCTTCCCCTCAGACCGCCCGATCCTCGTCCTGTTGTAAACTGTGTTCCTCCTGCCCTTGCATTTCGATGTTTTCCTTTTGGTTCAGGCTCATTCTAGTTTGGCCAGGGGTATCTCACAGAAGTGTATGTGTATAAGTTGTACCCCACCAGTACATCACACAAACGATAAACACCCGGTGACACTAAGTGCGACTAGGTGGATGAGGATCACCTGTGGAGAGGTCCCCCCGGAAACCCCGTTCAGCCGTTAGGCCATACTTCAGGCCCGGCTATATTTAGGGCTCCCGGCAAAAGCCAGGGGAGGGGGGGGGGTGGGGCTTCAAGATAATTAAAAATTGCATCCCACCAGGGGACGACGAGGTTGAGTTATTATCGCATTAGAGAGCGAGCTTCTCAACATAACCTCCTTTTGGACCACTATTTGTGGTTTTAAAATTTGAATATTGTGCTTTCCCAAAAAGTACTAAAAACATTTTTTTTTTTTTTTGGGTTTGGATAGATTCGAAATTGTAAAATAAATTTTACGAGTGACCTAAATTTTTAAGTTAGGCACACTTTTAACCATGTTGCAACTAGCGCCATGAAAATGTAAACACTTCATTGGCTGATAACAATCCCTCGTCGGTTACTGAGAAACTTAACAGAGAACGGGTAGGAATGTCCCGGGCCAATGTCATTTTTTTTTTTCATTTTTCCCCTTTCATTGTTAATTTCTGAGATCATCTTCTTTGCACATCGGACATTTTTTGTCATTCCTTCATCATAATCATGTGCCTTGGTGACTGACGTCTGCGATCATTCCTCTCAACAGTCTGCAATTTTGCACAGCATGCATCAGTCAGTTCATGTGCTGACAACCCCTTTTGTCATGACCAAAGACTGTCAAGAATCTTCTCCCGATGTCGATCCATGCGCAACCGGCTCCAGCTGAGGGGCCGTGCTCCTGACGTCATCGGGTCTGGCTAACGATGCGTCAACGTAGCGGTTCTCAAACTGGGTGTCGAGGCACCCTAAGGTGCCGTGAGCGTATGCCAGTGGTGCCGCGGCAAAAATCAAGAAAAGTCGGCTAACAGTTGTGAAATTATTAAAAAAGGCATGTAGATACTTAAAGGTTAAAATTTAATTTGTCTTCCCTCGCCCCTGTCGAAAATAGTTTATTTCTTGTTTGAGAACCGCTGCGTAAACGCATCGTTAACCCGACCCGGTGACGTCAGCAGCACGACCTGTTAGCTGGAGCTGGTCGTGATCCATGTCCCTTTATCCACAAATCTATCTATGGGTCACAACATGTCCCGATGTCGATCCATGTCCCTTTATCCACATATCTATCTATGGGTTACAACGTGTCCCGATGTCGATCCATGTCCCTTTATCCACATATCTATCTATGGGTCACAACATGTCCCGATGTCGATCCATGTCCCTTTATCCACATATCTATCTATGGGTCACAACATGCCCCGATGTCGATCCATGTCCCTTTATCCACATATCTATCTATGGGTTACAACATGTCCCGATGTCGATCCATGTCCCTTTATCCACATATCTATCTATGGGTTACAACATTTCCCAGTTTCCTTATTTCCACAACATTTAAAAACTGATGTTTATTATAAGTTGTCTTCAAACCCTCGCCTCTTTCAAAACATCTAGGCTGTTCTTTTCGGTTGCCTGTAGAGTTTTAAGGATTTATCTGTAAAAACAAATGTCCGAGGTTTGACTTGTTTCATACAATGCTAAATAGACTCAAAAGGAAGTGATGTGGATATCATATCTAGTGAGATTTACTGATCTTTCCAAAACTTCAGTCTCACCCTGTCCTCCTCCTCCTCTTGCTTCCTCTCCTTCATTTCCTTCTTCTTTGTGATCTTTCAGACGTCCAGGTTAATATATTTAAAGCAAACAATAGTCATTTTCCGTTAAATTAAAAACAAATGTGTTTCTTGGAAGTGGACAAACAACCTGAACTTTCGCCCCGGGTTTACAGCTGGTCAAAGTTAGTTGTGTATCCTTTACAGGACGTTGCAGAGCCAACCCCCAGCATTATTTTGCTGTTGTAGTTTTTTTTCCCCGAGGCAAATTTACGTCCAGTAGTTTGCCATTGCCTCTGGGCGGTTGGCTCTCAATCCAACTGTTGAAATAAGGTAAGAAGGTATGTTGCCAAAATGCCTGCAGCTGGGATTGAATCCCCACACCCCGGCATTACAGAGCTCGTTCGCAACGCTTAAACCACAGACGCACACAGACAGCCAGACAAGGGAAAAAAAAAAGAAGATAAACAATGAAATTAATTATTGCTTTAGAAAATAGTAATCGCAGTGTGAAGACTAAGGAAACAGTTTTAACAAATGCTGACATATTTTTAAAAAAAAATTCGAAAAACTCATTAATGACAGAAATACTACGCGTGATTTTTTTTTTAAAGTGAATTAACCATTTATTTAGGCTTTTGTCTATCACACCTGCGCCCTTATTCTTCTATTCATTCTGGTAAACGAATTATTTTGGCAAACTTTTTACTAAATTCCAAGTTATTTTTCGAGTTCTAAATCTTAATTAGGTCACGTTTCAGACTCCTATCTGGGTCAAATGGGTTCCTTGCTTTTGAAGAGAAAATGGAGCAGTTTGAATAGATTTCTACATCTAGATAACGATTCCTTTCAGCCATAGTAGATTGCCGTAGCTTGTTTGCTATTCTTATAGATGTCGTTAACAGGCCTGTTACATTGTCGTTGTCCTTAAAGAATGTGTCGTTTTCTGTATACAGTTTGTGTGTTTATTTGTGTGTGTTTGTGTGACATTTATTCTTTGCGTTGAATGGTATTTGTCTGAAGCAGGTTAAAGAATATAAATATCTAGGAATTAAATTCTCAGGGAACGGGATAATACATCTGGAAATAGAAACAAGATGCAAACGGACCAGCGCACTTGTTTACCAACTAACTCTGTTATTAGGACATCCAAACATAAGCATGACCGCAAAGAAACAGATTATAAATAACATATTCATACCAACACTGCGCTACAAGTGCCAAACTTGGACACTCTCAGTGGCTAACCTACATAAAATTTACACCTGTGAAATGCGGTGCCTGATAAAAGCCGCCAACTGAACCATTCGAGACAAATTTAGAAATGAAATTAACAGACTGTGGGAATATACCGTGCGCAGACTGAACTGTTGAGAAACTGGAAGTCCTGACAGGCATACCTCACCACAACGGACCTTCATCTAGCTTCTTATATATCTTCTTCTTCTTCTTTTTTTCTTCTTCTTCTTCTTCTTCTTCTTCTTCTTCTTCTTCTTCTTCTTTTTCTTCTTCTTCTTCTTCTTCTTCTTCTTCTTCTTCTTCTTCTTCTTCTTCTTCTTCTTCTTCTTCTTCTTCTTCTTCTTCTTCTTCTTCTTCTTCTTCTTCTTCTTCTTCTTCTTCTTCTTCTTCTTCTTCTTCTTATTCTTCTTCTTCTTATTCTTCTTCTTCTTCTTCTTCTTCTTCTTCTTCTTCTTCTTCTTCTGCTGCTGCTGCTGCTTCTTCTTCTTTTTTCTTCTTCTTCTTCTTCTTCTTCTTCTTCTTCTTCTTCTTCTTCTTCTTCTTCTTCTTCTTCTTCTTCTTCTTCTTCTTTTTCTTCTTCTTCTTCTTCTTCTTCTTCTTCTCTTCGTGTTCACCAGATGTAAACTCTGGCGGCAAGTTCTGGTTGTTATCCACTTCTAAATTGCAGTCCGTTTCCAGAATCTGATTATTGCGTGTGCATCCGTTTTACAGATCTGACTCATTTGTATGCAGACTGCTGGTTCCTTGCCTCAGGCAGATGCACTCCGGCTTTGAAGGAGGCTCCCAATTCTTCTTTTTCTTCTTTTTCTTTTTCTTCTTCTTCTCCTTCTTCTTTTTCTCCTTCTTCTTCTTCTTCTTCTTCTTCTTCTTCTTCTTCTTCTTCTTCTTCTTCTTCTTCTTCTTCTTCTTCTTCTTCTTCTTCTTCTTCTTCTTCTTCTTCTTCTTCTTCTTCTTCTTCTTCTTCTTCTTCTTCTTCTTCTTCTTCTTCTTCTTCTTCTTCTTCTTCTTCTTCTTCTTCTTCTTCTTCTTCTTCTTCTTCTTCTTCTTCTTCTTCTTCTTCTTCTTCTTCTTCTTCTTCTTCTTCTTCTTCTTCTTCTTCTTCTTCTTCTTCTTCTTCTTCTTCTTCTTCTTCTTCTTCTTCTTCTTCTTCTTCTTCTTCTTCTTCTTCTTCTCCTCCTCCTTCTTCTTCTTCTTCTTCTCTTCGCGTTCACCAGCTGTAAACTCTGGCGGCAGGTTTTGGTTGTTATCCACTTCTAAATTGCAGTCCGTTTCCAGAATCTGATTATTGCGTGTGCATCCGTTTTACAGATCTGACTCATTTGTATGCAGACTGCTGGTTCCTTGCCTCAGGCAGATGTACTCCGGCTTTGAAGGAAGCTCCCAATTAGTCCACCCTAACGACAAGCTTTTGGGTAGGCAGTGGGTCTATTCTTGTTTTCCCTTTAACAAGACCCCGGAACCCACACGGGAAACTCTTATATATTTAACGACTCTTATTTGTTGTCTCTTAACTGACCAGATAAAGTACACAGAAACATCATGGCCGACTGGAGTACTGTCGATCTAGATGACATAGCTACTAACGGATACCATAACAGTAGAAAAGGTTCCACCCAGAGCAATGGGTTTACAGACAACAAGGAAAACAGAAGACACAGCTCTGGGAATACACAGAGGTCGGCGGATGTGGTTAGTAGGCAGGATCTTGTACTGGCGAGAGGCGGGGAGTTGAGTGGGGAAAGCAGAACCGAACTGTCTCCAACTGTTGCAAAGAACCAAATGTAAGTCTGAGATTGTGTGAAAAGTTATAATGGATTACCTGCTTAACTGACTACCTATCTAAACATGCATCCATGTCTTTATCTATCAGTTCATTGGTGCATCTATTTATCTTTTTTTTTTTAAACCTGTGGTGTGTCTGTCAGTCAGTCCTTTTTGTCTGTCCATCTTTCTGTACATCCATCCATCTAAGTATACATCCACAGATTCATCCATCCATCCTTCATCCCTATATCAGTCTGTCAGTCTTGTCTTTAGTTTTATCTGTTTTCTTCACATTCTTGCTATCCACCACTTATTCATCCACCTATCGATTCATTCATCAGTCTATCATTTCTTTTATCAGTCTGTGTATTTTACATTTTTGTATCCATCCGTCAGTCTTTCTTTCTTTATGTCCATCATGCATCAGTCCGTCTATACATATACTCATCCATCCATCCATTCCTTCATCCATCCACCCATCCATCCATCCACCCATCCATCCATACATCCATGCATCCGCCAATCCACCCATCCACCGTCCATGCATCCATCAATCAACCCACCCGTCCACCCACCTATCCATCCAAATATCCATCTATTCAGCCATCGCTAAATCCATCCATTTACCCATCCATCCATCCATCCATCCATCTATCGATCCATATACTCTTTCATCCATCCATCTACTCATCCATCCATTCATCTACTCATCCCCCCATCCGTTTTCTCATCCATCCATCCATACCGTACCCCTAGATAGGAAGTGTTTGCAAATGAATATTAAAATTAACATCGGCTTCTGTTTCAGATTATTTCCAGGTGCAGCAACAAAGCATGGCACACAAACTACAGATTCAACGGTCGCTAAGTCCAACAAAAGCCCACATACAACAACCCGTAAGTTTGTGAAGATCTTACAGACAACTTTGAGGCTGGCGTAATATAACTGGTGGTGATAAAATGTTTTAAAGCTTGCAGATGAAATGCTCCCCGTGTAGGTTCTGGGGTCCTATTATAGGGAAACAAGAATAGACCTAACTGCCTGCCCAAAAGCATGTCGTAAGAGTCGACAAATTGGGTGCTTCCTTCGTAGTCGTAGTGCATCTGCCTGAAAAGCAAGGAACCAAAAGTCTGCATACAAATGAGTCAGATCTGTCAAACGGAGGTACACGTAACATTCAGGTTCTGGAACAGAACTGCAATCCAAAATTGGATGAACGACAGAACTTTCCCCCAGAGTTTACAGCTGGTGAACACGAAGAAGAAGAAGAAATGAAATGCTACAGAAACATTCTTAGAATGCCATGGACCAAAAAAAAAATTTTTTTGATCTGAGCGCTGTGGAGAACTGGCTCATAAACAGCATCCTGTCCTGAAAACTTAGGTATTGCAGCTATGCTGAAAATCAATGTGAGCCGGAGAGCAGTGTTGGAGGGCAAGGTTCTCGTCTCACTGTTACTAGCCTGTAGCCTAGTGACGTGGTTTTCTATATTTGTCTTGTCTCCCTCTTACTGGGTGCCTCGAGTGATGGATGTGGTCATCTTTTTGCAGGTTTTGGATACAACTATTATCTTTCTCCTTCTTGATCTCCCTTTCACCTTCTTCCCAGATGTTCCGCTGTAAAAAAATTCTCATATGCAGTTTGACCTGGCTGCATTCTCATTAGATGGATGAACCATTTCATTCTTTTCTATCAGTATAATCCAGACATTGTTGTATTCCATTTTTCTCTGAAATACCGGTGTTAGTTACCGTGTCTATTTTTGTGTTGTTAGTGACCTCGCAGAGACAGGGTATTTCACACGTAGTTATTTTCTGTTCTTGAGCCTTGTTCAGTCCATTTTTGGCACTGATAACATAAAGTGGGGATAAAGAAACAATTAATCATTTGCTGTTTTGCTAGAAGGGAGACATGTTGGTGTCTAAACAGTGGTGCTAACAGGTAGGTGACAGCATACCTTCTGTATTCTAGCTACTATCTCTCTTTCAAGTCTGCCATCCTCCGTAAATTTGCTGCCTAGATATTAGAATTCCTGAACTTGTTTGATTGTAGTACCGTTAATATAAACGTTCATGATATTACGTTTCCTGCCTCCTCTCATTACCTCAGTTTTCGCGGTGATTATTCTCATTTCATACTTTGTGCAGGCTTGATGTAAGGAGTCAATTTGGTATTGTAAATTTTGTTCTTGATGGTGTTTAGACACTGATCGTCTGCAAAAAGAAGTTCATTTTTTTCAGTATCTGTATTTGCCTCCTATGTAATTCTATCCATGTAAGTTAACAATATTTATTGTGTGGTAGCAATCAGTTTCACCACTGCTTTTACTTCCTAGGGCCTTAGCCGGTACAATTGGGCTGACCTGGGATCCATCGTCATTTTTTAAGAAAATTCAGGCTCCGTTTTGATTTAAATCCACGATCTTAAGATCCGCAGGCCAGCGTCTGGCCGCTAAACCCTGATGGCTCCCTGCGCATCTTCTAACCATCTTTAATTCATCATAAAGGATTTCCTTAGGAACTTTACCATCATCTACCGTGGCATCCTTTTTGTCCTAGCCATCTGTGGTTTCCAGCACTAAGGGTTGAGAAAACTGTTGTGACACCTGCTCTTTCGAATCTGTCAGTATTTGCGATCTTGCGTGGTCTCGAGGCATAGCGTCTCAGTTTTTGCGATCTTGCGTGGTCTCGAGTCATGGCGTCTCAGTGTTTGCGATCTTGCGTGGTCTCGAGTCATGGCGTCTCAGTGTTTGCGATCTTGCGTGGTCTCGAGTCATGGCGTCTCAGTATTTGCGATCTTGCGTGGTCTCGAGGCATGGCGTCTCAGTGTTTGCGATCTTGCGTGGTCTCGAGGCATGGCGTGCGCCTCGAGTTTTAGAGGTCCTGGGTTCAGGCTAGGATTTGTTTACGTAGACTTCTAGTAATTGCCACTGGTCTCTGGGTAGTAAGATCGGACGCCTATGTGTATTGTTGTGCACATAAAGAATCCCTTGACAGTTGGAAATCAAAAGAGTATCCTAGCGGCGCTGCCCGGGCAAAATTTGGAGTAGAAAAGCTACATAAAGTATTTCATGATCCTCGCCGGTGCTTCGAAGCTCGTGCAGTGCGCTGAGATTCTTTGGACTCAAGCCTAAATTAGAAGTAGAACGGAGCACTTATGGAATACTACCCTTGTGCCATGATGTTGATCCATCGTCTAAATCTAAACCTATTGAGCTTTGTAGTCCCCCAATGTCTTGTTTAACATTGACTGTTTAAATGCCAAAACATAACATTTACGATAATTGTAGCTGTTTAAACGTAATTTGCTATATCCTAATTAATTTCTCCTTGTAGCCACAACCGATTCTAACCCTGCCGAGAATATCACAATCCCCAGTGATGGCAACATTTCCCTCTTCACCCATGAGCAGCTGGCTATCTTTCTTCGGTATCTGAAAATTGAAGACAGAATTATCTCCCATCTACACCGGAAGCAGGTGGACGGTAAGAGGTTTGCCAAGCTGAAGGACACAGAACTGGACTCTCTGGGCATTAACAATCCTGTTGTTGTCTTTTTCAGAAATAAGAGTAATACAAAGGGTAAAGGAAAGGGACCGTTCATGTTGTAGGTCACCGGGGTGAAAGGGTGTTTTTCTTTCTCAACAGTGGTGTTAAATCTAAATCATTGTCGCCAAGAAATAAACGAAACAATATGCTTTTTAGATACACTGTGGGGGAAGGGGGTGGGAGCCCAACATAACAGCCGCTCAATTTTGGAGCTGGTTAGGGCGACAAGAACTTTTATTTTTTTTTTTTTTTTCAAACAAACTGGAAGGGGGTGGGAGACATGCTACAGCCAACATATTCATCATTACCATTTCAGTCATTAAAAGCATCTAAAGCTATGACATCTAAAAATATCTACAGATACAAGTGGTTTTTTTTTTTTTCTTTTCTAAATTCTATAGCTCAATTATAGATTTTTATAAAAACGGGACAATTGATTATTTTATGATGGGATGGCTGGGATACTCTTAAACACGGGACTGTCCCGCTGAAGACGGGACGAATGGTCACCTTATGAACAGTTGACGTTAATACCATTGCCGAAATCAGTGCAAAAATCGCAAAATCACATGCAGCTAAATCAAGCCAGATATTCTCAGATTATGAGCAATGTTGATAACTCCTAAGAGACTGTTTAAGATGACTGAGAAGTTAAAGAATTAATTTGTGAGAAACCCAGACATGAATGGGGAGCATAATAATTAATTTGGGGGGAAGCCTTTAGAAAAATTGGAAGTATAATAATTAATTTGTGAAAAGCCATGATATGAATGGGGAGTGTAATAATTAATTTTGGGGAAGCTTGAGAAGAATGGAGAGTAAAATAATTAATTTGTGAGAAGGTGTGATATGAATGGGGTGTATAATAATTAGTTTTGGGGAAGCCTTGAGAAGACAGGGGAGTATAATAATTAATTTGTGAGAAGCCATATGAACAGGGAGTATAATAATTAATTTGTTAGAAGCCCTTGAGATATATGGGGAATATAATAACTAATTTGTGGCGAGGCAGGTCATTGTTCTTACTTTATGTTTGGTTGCTCAAGGATGTAGTGTGAGATTTAATTTTATGAGAATCCTTGAGATCACTGGGGAGTGTTGTTAATTTGTGAGAAGCCTCAGTGGGTAATGGGATGAGTTGGTCAACATCACACTGACCGTCTCTACTTCCCAGGAGAGTACATGTAATCTATTTATTGCTGGGTCGACCTGGGAGCCAATGTTCTGTTTAAAAAAAAAATCGGCACCATGTAGATTTGAACCCACGACACTCGGATCGGCAGATGAGTGACTAGCCGCTACACCATGACGGCTTTCTGGATGTTTATGTAGCTGTTTCATAAACATGACTTGGTGGAAATTATTTGTGTACATGTGTAATAAACAAGACTGACTGGATTGTGTCTATACTTGTTTTAAAAATGTTTTTTTTGTGTGTGTGGATTATTAATTGTGTTTCACACAGGTCTTTGTGTGAATTATTGATGTACCTGTTTCACACAGGTCTTTGTGTGAATTATTGATGTACCTGTTTCACACAGGTCTTTGTGTGAATTATTGATGTACCTGTTTCACACAGGTCTTTGTGTGAATTATTGATGTACCTGTTTCACCATGTCTTTGTGTGGATTATTGATGTACCTGTTTCACACAGGCCTTTGTGTGCATTTGTTTTCTACCTGTTTCACACAGGTCTGTGTGAATTAATGATTTACCTGTCTCACACAGGTCTTTGTGTGAATTATTGATGTACCTGTTTGACACAGGTCTTTGAGTAAATTACTGATGTGCTGTTTCACACAGGTCTTTGAGTAAATTATTGATGTACCTGTTTCACACAGGTTTTTGAGTAAATTATTGATGTACCTGTTTCACACAGGTCTTTGTGTAAATTATTTACTTGATTTCCTCGTGCGGTTTCCGGGTGTCATTGTGGTGAGGGGGAAGGGGGGGGGGTAGACCAAGCATGTCCTAGGAGTCGACTAACTGGGGGCATATTTCGAAGTCAGAACAAAAGAGAGGGGAGGTAACAAAAGTCCAGACATTTCTCTAATTTCTTCACTCCTCTTAAATTCACCTTAGTTTGTGTTCGCCAGTTTCCTCAGGCATATGTTTTCAAAAGCATTTAGCTTCGACAGCTGATGTATGTATGTAGTTCACCTCCACCAGGACCTCACAGCGAGCGATAAACATCCGTTGATGACGCAAAGTGCCACCATTTGGTTGAGAATCACCCAGGCGTATGTCCCAGAAACCCCGTTTAACGGTTACATTATATTAAGGCACCCTGACAACAGCCGTATTGGGGCTTTAACTTTTTTGTTCACAACTGATTACTTTAGCAGGTCCGCTGGGCCCCTGCATGTGGGCCTCACGAACACAGTGGCTGTGTGTTTATGTGTGTCAGTGGCAGTACCACAAGCGTGAGAATTCATGAATTCTTTAAAACAGCATATAGGGACACAAATGAAGTAAGGACATTCCACAAACTAGGTCAGAAAACATTGCTGCCCTCCTTCATGTCCGCTATATTTGTGGGGACGTTTCAGGTCCTCATCTCATCTGGTTTTTAATTGTGCTTTACACTCTAAACTCATGGCTAACTGACTGACTTTCTACCCCACAAGCGACAAACACCCGATGACACAATGTGCCACCATGTGGATGAGGATCACCGTGGAGAGGTCCCAGAAACCGCGTTCATCTCTAGGCCATATTTATGGCCAGGTTGTATTGCGGCCCCTAGCAAGAGCCAGAGTAAGGCTTCAAAAACGAAAAATGTCATCCTCAAAAGGACGGGAAGTAATAGACTCATACTTATTTGGAGATTAAATAGGCACTCGATGGCTGATGGTGTGGTCAGTATGACACCACCGCAATCACATTTATGAAATTTCCCTGACGCGCATGTTGGAGGGATAGTCAAGGCGAACCAAGGTACAGTTTTAAAACAAATTCGAGTAATGCAAAATCGTACCTAAGACCTTCAGGTCGGTAAACTAAAGGGAAATAAAGTGTCTTTTCATTCAAGTTTTCTTTTTACGGTGCTGTCCCTTGGTAATTAGAATGGATTCTTCAATATTATCCCCTGCAGGGTTTCAGTTTGAGGTTTGAACAACGGATCAACATCATGGCACACCATAAGTGCTCCGTTCTTCTTATAACGCAAGTCTGAGTCCGAAGAAGCTCAGCACAGGGCACAGGCTCTGTAGCACCGGCGAGGATCCTGAAATACTGTCATCGTCACGAGCACAGTTGCCCTGTGTGTGTGTCAAGTGACCATTACCATTTCATTTATGTGAGTTTGTTAAGAAATGAACAGGCGGACAGACTAGCTGGCTATGAATAACTTGGTGAATTATTGATACATGATAAGGCAGACGTGGTTAGTGCCTTGTGGGAGAGCGTGTACAGTTCGGAGGAGCAGATGGATCACCACAGTCTGGTGAGATTGATGTAGGGGGAAGTGATGAGAGGTTCTGGCAGATGCTCGAGGCTCAGAGGAAAGGCAAGACGGACGTTTAATCAGAATGCTACTGGCACCATTAGTATCGGAACTCTTCGCTGGCTGCTGAAGATGGGGACGAAGCGCTTATGGAAATGCCCTGAGTGCTGTGATGTCGGTTCTTGAATCAAATCAAAATCAAATCAAATCGTGTGAAAGGTTGTCGTACGGGTCTAAGCACATTGGTTTACCCAGAGGTCTACAGACGGCTCTATGTATGTGGTTGTGTAGGGGGAGACCAACTTATTTTAGTGCTAAGGATATTAAAGGGTCCTAACCTTGCCCTGAAAGCACCTGTTCTTCACAATTTGTTTTTATCTAGCCCGTTTCGTAGAGGTGTTTTTATGTGTTATCATTTAGAGTTATGTTTTAAGACGCTGCTGTGAAATGTTTTTATAACCGAAACGCTGAATGTGGCCTTATTTGTGTGGTGTTAATCTACAGATGTTTGCTTTGGAGAACCCATCTAGGGTAACCTCGTGTAGACTGGTTGGGTAAGCACTTTTGTTACCACTATTCTCATTCATTGAGCATTGTATATGTTTTACTGTCTGTGATTTCTGTTCATCTGGTTAGAGGGGCCCTCAATCCCAGCCAGAAATAAATTTAATTCCTCCTGAGGTAGTCTACTTTACTGAAGGCCGTGTCTCCTTAAATTTACTTGATGCGAGATCACAGCAGCCTGGTCTGAAAACCCATAAAGTAAAGAATAAATCAGGCAAATAGTAATGTTGTATCTCTTAAAGGCACCTCACTCCAAGAGGTGGAGTCGTACACCTATTTGGGCAGTAATGTAGATACAGATGGAGGAACTGATAGAGATATTAAGATAGGAATACAAAAGGCAAGAGGAGCTTTCATAGCACTAATTAATTTGTGGAACTCAAAAGAAATACTAAACTAAAAAATTTTAATTCTAATGTCAAATCAGTACTTTTGTATGGGGCGGAAACATGGAGAACAACTTAGGCAATTACTAATAAATTACAAACATTCATTAACTGGTGCCTGCGCAGAATAGAGGGAATTAAATGGTATGATAGAATAACTAATGTAGAGCCTTGGGAGAGAACTAAACAGGCTCCAGTGGACCAAGAGGTGAGGAAAAGACGCTGGCGTTGGATAGGACACACACTTAGAAAACAGGAGAACAGCATAACTATAATGTCTTTGCATTGGAACCCACAGGGGCATGGGAATAAAGGAAGGCCAAAAAACATATTGAGAAAAGAGCTGGATAATGAAGTTAGAAAGATGGGGAGGACATGGGGAGAGCTCCATGTAATGGTGAAGGAAAGAACGTCTTGGCGTGAGTTGGTAGAGGGCCTATGCTCCATTGGTAGACAAAAAGGCAGAAGAAGAAGAAGAAGAAGACTGTGTGTACGTGACTTCAAAACAATGTGATGGTTAGGCAGGAATACAGTTTTTAGTCGTCGCAAATGTTTGCCTCTGAAATAGTTATTTGTTGCATGTTATACTTCTCTATGCATGTGAAACATGGACTGTTTACCATCGCCATGCTAAGAAGCTGAGCAATGTCCACACAGTATGCCTTAG